TAACATTATTAAAATTGTATGTCCGGTTGTATTTTATATTTGACTAATTTATTTTAGTTGATGCTTTTGATATTTTGTAGTCCTTGTACTTGTTTTATATTTTACAATGTATTATACATCAATGAAAAATCAAACAATGTCTTTGCTAATAGCTGCCTTAAAGGTGGCCTACAGTTTCCACATCGGCTAGAGGCGAAGTAGCATGCTTTTGCGCGAAAACGAAACTACAATTTGAACTCTACTAAGATGGGTCGATGTTATGTACACACATGCATGTCAAATTTTCAAACTATATAGCAGTAATAATACTTGGTAGGGCCTTTATTCATTCGTACATCACCGTAGTATTCCTACATTGATTATAAGTTCGTACTTTTTGATAACGAAATGTATATATAATTAACTCAAATCAGGGTACAACTAGTAAATTACTTAACACGAGCTTGATTAGTGAGATGACACACCCAAAATATGACACACCCAAAATATGGCTTACTTACAGTCAACTTTAATTGACTTGTACACTGAGTTACCATTTCCTATCTTTATAAATTAACCATCGAGATTTTATTATATTTTATCCCCTTTTATATGAAAATGTCATGATTCTCGTTAAAGCAACCTTTGGTTTTTATTTGAAAGACAAAAAAGTTGCCTCAACCATGATCTGTTTTATATAATATATTTTTGTTCTATCATTGAAGATCTCCCTCTCTCTTCAATTCTGCAAGATCTATCTTTCCATTGTTGTGTATGAAGCAATATATAATATTTCTCAGCAATCATATCGTTTAAATCTTAAAACTGAAAGTCACTCTTCCTCACAAATCGGTGAGCCAGGGTACCAAAAAAATCATGAATATACAGGGGTTTTATTTTCAAACAATCAATAGTTAAGATAGCTAGAGGCCAAGAAATTCATAATGATCACTTTGGATTTACTTAAAAAACGATTAATAAGGGGATGTAATTATGTCTTAGAAAGTAGAAGGACAAACAAAAGCAACATTTATATATATATACACACAGTAACTGTTGTTCAAAAAAATAAAACACACAGTAACTTTGTTTGACATCTGTATGTTATACGCAACGAGATGTTAACTGGTGTTGAAAGAGGGATGCACAACCAGTTCTTAATATCGATACGAATTTAATAAATAAAGAATCGGATTGAAAGCAGAGTACGTAGAGAGTGATGAAATCATGGACAGTGTATAGTAACTGTAACAAGAGAGAAGAGAGTTCTTAATAAGGGAGACATGCTGAACAGAAGAATCTCAGTCTTTATCGCACACAGTCTGTCTTATCCCGACAAATAAAACAAAGCATTTTTAGAAATTAAATAAATAGAAGAGAATTAATTTCTAAGTACTAATACGGTGGAACGTATCTGGATATCCAGAAACTTTTAGGTATTCGAATCTATTAAATCCATGGTTTTATTATTCGTATCCAGATTTAAGGCTTTAGAATTTTTCATATTGGATATCCGTCTAATAATATCAATGGATATTCGGATCTATAAAAATAATAAAAAGAATTTTAAAATACTAAAATATTCAAGATAATACAAAATAAAGATTTATACAATATTTATAAAAAGATAAATAATATTATAAAATATAATAAAATTGATTTATGTATAAATTTAAATATATTAAAATGATTACTAATAAAATTGTTTTTTTAACAAAAATGGGATTTAGTTTTGATGGTTCCAAGATTAGAATATCCTATTTTTTGGAATGGATCTTGAATTAGATCTAGAACTCGGATAATAATTCCACCCCTATGATAAGTTCATAACTATTAGAGAATTAGTATAAATATATTATTAAAGGGGAGAAATATTGATGAGAGTTTGAATTTTTTTTTGGATTAAAGAGTCTGAATCTCAGAGCAGTCAGACCTGATTATTTGCTTTTCTTGCAGGTCGACGTTCGATCTATGCAGCGTACATACCACATACTTATGCAGTTATGCTCATATGTACTATATACACAGTGTTTGTAAAATTTACCATTATTGCTCTCTCTCTAACAGTAATTTTATTTAAAATTGTTTTCTAGTACAAGAAGAATAATTCAAAGTAAATCAATTTCTTCTTTCTCGTAAATAAGAAACAATTTGTAAAACCATAAGAAAACTTATCAATCAGTAACAATAAGAAAACTTTTTTGGCTAAAACCAATTATAGAACAACACACATTAAAAATTGCCACTCTCTTTTTTTTTTTTTTTTTAACGAATCTGACTTAAAAAAGAGAAGAAGAATAGCCACTCTCTTAAAATGCTGGAATTGGTTTGAGTAGCTAAACCTAACCCAACTAAAACGAACTTGAAACCACACTTTTAGTTACGTTGATAAAATAGATTTTAATAAAATTTTCAGTAACAAGCAAAAACTGTTATATTTTTTGGTTATTTACAGGAATGAACCCATAAAATATGCATGTCAGATTATATCAGGCGTTGCAGATATCGAATAGCCTAGGCAAATCATGGCACGATTATGACGGGCATTCAAGATGCTTTTTATAAGGCACCATGATCAGAGGCTGATCTAGAAACAATTGTGTCCAGAACTACAAAAACAAGTTTAATTACTGTATAAATTGGAATTATCAACTGGGACATTATTAAAAATCAATAAAAATATACACTAATTTAAAAAATCATGGTGTACAACTGCTCCTCCTACTCACGGTGTAGCTTTGCTACTTATCATGATTAGTATGTCTTGTTTTCCCAAGAACATTTTAGAGAGTTAGTTAAATGTTTAAATTGTTTCATATCACACATATGAATAAAAAATCACAATACTGCATTCATTTTGAAATAGATGATGTAGTAAAAAATTTCTTTGTTTTAAATTCGATGTATTCAAATTTTATTGCAAAATTTATTAGCTTTACATATTATAGGATTCATTATATATTCATGTTTGCTATTCTATTGATTAGATTATGATTAAATTGGTAGGTAATGATGTTTTGTTTTAAAAAATACGAAATGCATATATTTTAATTTTGTTCAAAAATTTAAACATTGAATAATGATAAAAAATGAAGAGAGTAATAAAATAATTTTAGAACTATAAAACTGTTTTAAAAACTGCACAATTATAAGATAATTTGAATTAGGATTTTTATTTAAAATCTACTATTCTTTGCCCATCTCGACACCAACATTAAATTTAGTGTAATTTCATCTCCAGTAAAACACCAAATTTCATGAAATGTGAATAGTACTATACCAAATTTGATGTAACACTATATATTTATTATTTAAAAAAAAAACACTATATATTCATTAAACCAAATTTTAAAATATATATTTTATTATGTTTTATTTATTATATAATTCAATCACTATTAAATTTGTAATTAAATAGAATATACTATATTATTTGTATTTTAAATTTATTTAACATAATTAAAAATTAAAATATTTTTATTCTATTTTATTTCCAAAATAAATCACAAAATGATAATTATCATTTATCACTTACAAATAATAATAATATTAATAACAATATAAATGTAATAAAATAATTATTTATCAGTTATAAATAATAAAAATGTAAACAAATTAAGATTGAAAATATCAAGTAATATATAATTTTATTTTTGATATAAGGATTGACATTATTATTGATACCTAACTATTGGAGATTAAATTTTAACATCAAATTTGATGTACTTGTTGAAGATACCCTTATACTCGTGCAACATCTCTGTGGATGCCTCCATCATCTAGTGAGGCGATGAGAGCATATGTGAAATGAGAAAGAAATTTGAATTGGCTTATAGTCGGTGTTCGATAAGAGGGGGACATTGATGGATGTCGATAGGTATGTGGGGTCACACCCACCAGCTGGATTTGAATTTTAGGCTTTTCTCAGTTTATTGATTCTGTCTATTTTTAAACTCGTTTCACTAAAAAAAAGAGAAAATATAATTAGTGAAATCCGAACAATTACGGGTTTATATATAATTATTATTGTGACCAAACTAGAGTTAAGATCAAAGATATTTATACTGATTTATAGTGTATCAGGATTTTTTTTTGACCAAAGTATATCAGTTTATAAATATTTACAAACTTATAGAAGGACCTAAAAAGAAGAGGGGAGAAAGGTTTGATGCAAAGGCCCATGTTGATGGAAGGTTGAAAAGACGGATGCATGAATTTGAGAACCCTGAAAGTATATAGTATTACATACACAAACTGCTATCACAAGTTAAATGATACTTATATATATATTTTCACGCGGCATGGAGTTTTCAATCAATCATTCTGGTGTCGGTAACTCAACGAACCTACTGTATTTAGCCAACTAAAATGTAAAGATATTTCAACTAAATGTTCCAAGTTCAGAATGCTTACGTTGTGACAATAGTATATTTATACTTGATTTCGTTCCTGCCCTGACTCCTGAGGTTTATGATTCAAACTAACCCTAAACTTCTTTACTTCAGAGGAAGAAAACAGCTATGCTTAGTAATAGGTGTATATCAAAGTACCCTTCACATCCACCACAAATTTCTGTTGTTTTAGTTTACAATAAAATGTTGTAGTCATTACTAAATTCGAAAAAAAATATCATTGCAATACAGTTTAATGCGTGACGCTTTTGACTTTGATGTCGAATACTCTTTGCAGTGCTTGTTTAGAAATTCTTAAGAAAACTGAATAAATTTATTAATTGAATCATGTCTTACATCTTTCGATAGCATCTATATTTATAGTAGCTAAAAAGCTCACAATCTTAAGAGGATTTGTAAAAATATGGAGACTTTCAATTTCGAAGCAGAAAAGTTTAACATTAACAAATTTGGGTCAAAAATGAAAGAGGAAAACAACAGTGGAAGTGTCTTGTTATTTTTTTGATCGTGGAAGTATGTAAAACACGAGACTATATAGCTGATTAGAGGCACCTTTTGACTAATTAATCAATTATATTAATCTTTAGAATCAGTTCCTATGAATATCTCAGTTCTCACAAGGAATTACACAAATCTTAATACTCTCATCAAGCAAAACTTTTACATACATCATACATAAACTACGCAGATTAGTTGTCATTACTTGCGACAGAAGCAACCTCAATATTAAAATTCAGTGACCATCGATCTCCGCCAATGTTTTGTGATAATTCTTCAACTAAATCCTTAAAAATCTCAAACTCGATCTCCAAAACAGCCTCTGCGACTTCTGCATCGTTCTTTGATCTCCATGATCCCAAACTCTCTGTCCTAAAATCATGCTCGACCATCATATCGATAGTGTTCGACTCCACATCTCTCCAAGATCTTAATCTCTCGCATACCCTTTTGGCTTCATCGTCTTGAAACAAGCTATTGTTTTGCATTTCCTCTGCTACAAGGTCTGAGATCAATGCTTCTATGCCTTCGGGAACTTCTGTAATGTCTTTAAAATACGTTTTGAGAACTCTATGAGTTATAATCTCACACTGATAATGATTTCTCATCTTTTCTACTTCACTATCCTCCTCGGTGTCTTGGTCTGACATTGTTTTCTCGAGTTTCAACGGATCCAAACCCGTGAGTTGCTCAAATCTACATAGCTTCTGTAGAAGCAGATGCTTTGCTTCTGTAAAAAAAAATTTAAACACTGAAAACATCAGTCTAAATGCTATGCCAAAAAGAAACATCAGTCTATAAATGATCTGATCTCGTGTGAAATCAAACGCCTATAAATGTTTTTATTCATATAAAGTCATAAATAAAAAATCTAACTATTTTGTTAAAAAGATATACACAAAATAAAAATAAGTTTCAGAATGTTAACTTTCCCAAATCTAATAGGAAATATATCTGACAAAAAAAATAGGAAATATATATATTCAACAAAGGGAAAAATATACACAAAATAATTTTAAAAATCCAAATCTAAACAAATTAGTCAAAAGATTTTTGACCATTATGTAACTGGGTGACTTTAACATACACTATGCGTGCACTAACGTGTAAATGCAACTAAAACATGTTAACAAATCACTATTCGTGCACGAACGTGTTATTGTTCTGCTTCGAGAACATATATCCAACAATGTACTAATAAGAAACAAATAAATGAGTAGGGTAAACTATAAGATCGAATTAAATGAAAATTTAAGACAAAAGAGTGATTACGTACTTTGTACAGATCTGAAGCTGGAGGTGATGTTATTGTCATCCATGTGAATGTCTTCGTCATCGTCCTGAAATGGAGGGTCCAAAACTGAAACTGGGCTGCTCTGTTCCTTATCTTCTTCTTCTTCTTCCTCTTCTACATCTAGTTTCTTTAGCTTCTCTACTTCGTAACTCTCTTTCTTCATCTGTTTAATTTAAACAAACATTTGAATACTTACATTGAATAATTACTTGAGATTAGATTATGCTAATTTTACTGATTTATTTTAGATTAATGGTAAATGCACAGCCAGAGACAAAAGTTTTCAGACAAAAACCGAAAAGCAAAAACATGAGAGATAGATTTGCATGTCAGAGACATATATCGTCTTTGTTTTCAACATCACAAAAGGCTGAGTTCATTTTCGAAAAGACGAAGCTTGCTTTTGTCTTAAACTGTTACTTCATCTTCGAAAATAGCCAAGTGTTATGTTTTCTCGGGGTACTTTGTCATTTACTGTAATCATTCTTACTTTCCCGCTAATTCAAATGGGTAAAAACCCAGTCAAACTAGTTCATTAGTTAGACTTCCTATGCCAATTTTATAATTTCAAAATCTAAATAAAACAGTAGTAACACACGTTACAATAAATGATTAGTAAATTACTACCATGCACATCAATTATTTTTCGGTGTTTCTTTCTTTTCCATTTCTAACTAACGAATATGATCAATAATGTAATCATTATTTACTCAATAACTATTAATGGAAAAAGAGACAAACCTCTTGACAATCATGGCGTGGAGAAACCGCAGGCGACGTGAAATTCGGCGTTCTGAAACCGCCTGAAGAAGGCATTGTTGTTTGGAGAACAAAATGAAACGGGCTTTCACAAAAGCGTTTATCCTCCGAAAAATCTGGACCGTTCATCAAGCCACACGTTAACTCATCTAAACCGTCAGATCCGCTGCTGGAGCTAATTGACGGTTCGAAATCGCAGTCTCCGTTGGTAACACTCTCTGACCAAACACCACTACTACTAGACCTACGTGAGAACTGCGGCTCAGACGCTGTTTTCTGCGTTTGGGAGGAGTTTTGTTCTTCTTTGCGTTTGGATTTTCTAGTCACTATTTTACGAACAACAGGAGATTCCCATCCCAACATATCCTTCACAGAAGAAACTCCACCACCGACTTTACCGCCGCTGATTTCGCGTTTCTTTCTTTGCGTTAGCTTCTTCAACACTGACCCAAACATCCCAAACGCGTTTCCTACGTTCCGCGTTTTGGTTTTTGAACCCTCAGACGATTGTTTCTGTATCCTAACCGCAGCTTCTAGCAGTATAGAAGCAGTTCTCGCCGGTATGTTGACGAAAATAGCGTTCTGGCTCCTGTTAGGCGACTTGAGTTCGAAGAGTGGAGACTTCTTCGGGTCAGGCGATTCACGTAGGGAGAAGAAACAAGCGTTGCGGCAGAAACGTGAAGGAAGTCCAGCGTTTTGAGAGACTGGTCTGCGTTTCTTGACCTGTAAATGCGTTATCTGGCGACGTTGGTCGGAAATGTAACTCTGAAGTTGAAACGGTTCTTGATCTTCTTCAAGAAGATCTTTTAAGTGTCTCTGTGACGACATTTTATCAAAACTCCAACAACAAGAAAAACAGAGTGGAATAATAAAGACAACTTTCCGTGAGTATATTCAAAAGTTTCAAGCTGTAGTTAAAGAGAAAGTTTTTGTTTTGGAACTCTGGTAGAGAGAGATTGGTGATGATGGTGATTCAAAAGTTGTGGATGGTTTAGAAGATCGAGGCAAGGGCTAAGTAAATAGTTGTCGGTAGGAACTAAGATAAAAAATTATTTTCGTATTATAGTTTTGTTTTTTGTCTAATGGGTGATTTAAGAACACACAAACAAAAATAAAATTATTTTAAGATATTATACCAACCATTTTCCAAAGGGACAAACTAAAATATTTTTTAAACCGAATTGGTCCCCTTGATATTTAATTCATCTTTGTTATTTATCATTTTCATTAGAGTAGGGTATAAATGCTTGATACTCGATTTATACTAGATATTTAACTTGATTCAATTTGAAAGAACAAATATTTGCTACAATCAAATCGAGTAACAAGTAAACATATTTTATTAATTGCAAATACAAGTCAAATATCAAATTCATTTTTATTTTTAACTATTTGACTTGTTACTTAATTTGTTAATTGTTATCATCTACTAGTTCTATTATTTGTTATATATTATTTTGTTTATTATATACTTGATATCTATTTTAGTTACTTAAAGTTTATTTTTATTATCAACCACAATTACTTGTTTTTTTCACAATTACATGTTGTTTACCTTTTATTCGCTACTTGATGGGTACATAATCTTCAAATATAAGTATTTGTTCTCACCAAATTATATATTAAGTAATCTATTTAAACTATTTGTAAGTATAAAATAAATATTAAATATCAAAGAAAATTAATTATTTGATTTTATTTTGTTTGTTACTTGTGTTTGTTAATGAATAAAGATACATTTTCTTAAATCGTAGTAAAATAATTTAGTTCTATTTCCATTTCATAAGTACATAAAACATAAGTGCTATATTTATATATAAGCATCTTGACTTTTCTTTTTTTTACATAGACTATTTTCTGAATGACTTAAATACAAGAAAACAATGATATATTATTTCTATAATAAATTTATTTAACTTTATTTTAATGAATTATCAAATAATTTACTAATAATTATGAATGAATTTATAAGTAATTTACAAATAACAAATAATAAAACAAGCTAAGAAATTGTAAATTTTCGTTTTTAACAAATCAAGTACAAGTCAAAACATTTACTATTCATATAAGCCAAGCTGAATACTAAATATATCAAAAATACCGAATACTCGACTGTCCACCATAATTTTCATGCCTACAGTTTATTTCACCTCTAGTTATTCTCCTATTTGTGTTTTCTTGACAATATCCTCCAATTTCAGTTCTGATGAGTTAATTTTCATGTTTCATCTCCATATGTTTTATATAAAAATAGTAACAAAAATCTAGCGAGCGTTTGTTTCAGTAAAAGCTTCAAATAATTTTTTTGTGTATGATTGAAATAGCATCGAATCCTTGTTTTTGTTTTTCGTTCCATGAAACTCATTTTTTTCCCTCCGAAGCAAAGCGTTGACGATCTCAAAGAGGGAGAAGAGTAAAAAAAGGAAAATCAGGGTTAAACTAAAAAAAAACTCGTGAGGAAAATGAATAGAAAACGACGAAAGAGAGGAACAACACGCATGCCCAATTTATTGCAGGAACTGAATACTGACTCCATCCACTTTTTACGTCCCATTTCTCACTGCTTTTCATGCATGTTCAAAATTTCTTTTAAAAGTTTTTTTTCCCCAACGTCTTCGATGATTCACCAATGAAATTGTATTCCGAAGCTGAGTAAATGAATTAACATTAACTTTAACTGTTGTATTTTGTTTTAACGTATTAATCCATCATGCAATGACATAATATTGCAGATTAAGAGTTTTGAGACTTTACTTGTCTCCATTTCTCTCCGAAAATAAGAATTTTTATAGCGTTTATTTCACTTATTAAATGGTATATGAAATTTAAATAAATTATTCACAGAAAATTATAAATTATGTCCATGTATCATGAAATAAATTTAGCATATATATATAATTTATAATGTGATTAGGTATTTAAAAAAAACACTAAAACGCTAAATATTATAGATAATATTTATTACAAATTTGATATGTTTGTAAGGTTAATCCATATATTCAAAGATAAAATAAAAAATATGGTATTTTGTTTTAATGCATAGCTGCATCATGCAATGACATAATATGAAGATGAAAGAGAGTTAAGACCTTAAGTGTTTCTGTTTTTCTACAAAATAAAGATTTTATAGGAGTTAGTCCACTGATTATGATGTATCTGAAATTTTTTTTAAAAAACTAAATGATGCTTATGTACCATGTAAATATTTAGCATACATGAATATAAATTTAGAGTGTGGTTATGTACTTCTAAAACAATACTAATGAGGCTAAACTTTAGTATATATACATTTATTTATTGGAAAAAACTGGATAATTTCAAAAGATAAATTAGAAAATAAGATTTTGTTTTCCTTTTGATGCATAACTTCATCATGTACTAACATGTGATGAAAATAAAAAAAGTCTAAGACCTTATTTGTCCATGTTTCTAAAGAAATTACAGATTTTATAGAGTTAGTTAGTCCACAGAATTAGATGGAATATGAAATCTTGTTAAATTACTCATTAAAATATTATAAACAATGTCCATGTACTATGAAAATAAGTTTAACATACATTAATAAAAATATATAATGTAAATAGGTATTTTTTTAATCGACATGAAAGAGCTTAAACTTCAGTATATAGAATTTATTAGAAAACTCTCTATTTTTGTAGGGGTTAACTCACAAATTAGAAAATACGGGTAGACCTTTAATGCATAGATGCATCTAACAAAAATATAACATGAAGATCAAGGATGTCTGACACCTTTTTGTCATCATTTCTATAGAATATAGAGATTTCATAAGGTTTAGTTCGTTGATTTACATGATATATAAAATTTTATTAAATTACTCGTTGGAAATTTATAATCGATGCCCATGTACCATGAAAATAAATTTAGGATACATTAGTATAAATTTTTAATGTGGTTATATATTTTAAACAACACCAAAGAGCCTAAACATAAATACAAATAGCATTTATCAGAAAAAAATTCGATCTTTTCGTAGGGATTAACCCATAAATTTTAAGATAAATAAGAAACATATGAAATTTGTTTATTTATGCATAGCTGCGTACAGTACTAATATATGATGAATATCAAAGAGTATTTTATACTTTAGTTGTCCAAAGTTCTCTAGAAAATAGAGATTGCATAGGATTTTGGCTCATTGATTTTGGTTGTATATGAAGTTTTTATTAAATTATTCGGTTGAAAATTAGAACTGATGTCCATGTACAATTAACATAATATAGATAATATTTATCAAAAAAATTCAATTTTTTTCGTAGGGGTTAACCCACATATTTCAAGATAAATTATAAAATATGGTATTTTTGTTTTAATGCATAACTGCACCATGCACTGACATAGTATGAAGATTAAAGAGGTTTGAGACCTTAGGTGTTCACATTTCTCTAGAAAATAGAGATTATATAGAGCTTAATACACTAATTAAGTCGTATATGAAGTTTAAAATATTACTCGTTGAAAAATTAAAAATGATGCTCATGTACCATGAAAATATATTTAGAATACATTAATATACATTTAGAGTGTGGTTAGGTATTTTAAAAAAACCATTAATGAGGCTAACTTTAGTATATGTAGCATTTACTGGAAAAATTCTATCTTTTCTTAAGATAAATTAGAAAATATAGTATTTTGTTTTAATGCATAACTTCATTAAGCACTGACATGTGATGGTAATTAAAGAGGTCTGTGACCTTATTTGTCCATGTTTCTCCAGAACTTACAAATTTTGTAAGAGTTAGTCCACTAAATTAGTGGAATATGGAGTTTTATTAAATTACTCATTATAATATTTAAAACATTGTCCATGTACGACGAAAATAAGTTAACAAATGTTAATATAAATGTATAATGTGATTAGATATTTTTTAATCAACAAGAAAGAGCTTAAACTTCAGTATATAGCACTTATTAGAAAGCTCAATATTTTTGTAATGGTTAACCCACATATTTCAAAATAAATTAAAAGTACAATAATTTTTTTAATGCATAGATTTATCCAGCACAGATATAAGATGAAGATCAAGGATTTGTAACACCTTTGTTGTCCCAATTTCTTTAAAATCTAGAGATTTCATAGGGTATAGCTTTTTGATTTACGTGATATATGAAGTTTTATTAAATTACTCGTTGGAAAATTATAAATGATGCCCATTACCCTAAAAATAAAATATATTTTTTTCAAATTTTTCAAAGGGGTTAACCCACATAAATCCAGAAAAAGTAGAATTTTTTTTCTATTTTTGTTTTAATGCATATTTGCATCACTAACAGAAATATTATGAATACTAAAGAGGTTTGAGACCTTATATGTTCCCCTTTCTCTAGAAAATAGAGATTTCATAAGGTTAGTTGCACTAATTAGATCGTATATGAAGTTTAAATAAAATACGTGTTGGAAAATTAGATATGATGATCATGTAACGTGAAAATAGGTTTAGCATACAATAATATACATTGAGAGTGTGGTTTAATATTTTTAATCAACAATAAAATGTCTAAAAATATATTAAAGCATTTATCGGAAAATTCAATTTTTTCAAAGGGGCTAACCCACATATTTCCAGAAAAATTAGATTTTTTTTTTGTTTTAATGCATATTTGCATCATTAACTGACAGATTATGAATATTAAAGAGGTTTGAAACCTTATATGTTCCTCTTTCTCTAGAAAATAGAGATTTTATAGGGGTTAGTTGCAATACTTAGATCGTAAATGAAGTTTAAATAAACTACGTGTTGGAAAGTTAGATATGATGACCATGTAACATGAAAATATGTTTAACATAAATTAATATACACTGAGAGTGTGGTTTAATTTTTTTAAACATCAACAAAGTGTGTAAAAATATATTAAAGCATTTATCAGAAAATTCATCTTTTTCAAAGGAGTTAACCCACATATTTCCAGAAAAATTAGAAATTTTTTTATTTTTGTT